CCCCATTCCTCCTTTCCCCTCCCCTTCCCCTTCTTCCCCCTACCCCTCCCTCCACCTTCCCTCCTCCCCATCCCCCCTCCCCACCTTCCTCCTCCCTCCCCACCTCCTCTTTCACACACTTCCAAAAAACATCGAGAGGGAAGGATGTCACTCCCCCCCCCCCCCAGCCCCGCTCCCCAACGCCTTTGAGGAGAGGGAAGGATGTCACTCCCCCCCCCCACCCCCGCCCCCCCAACGCCTTCGAGGAGAGCGGAGGGAATCCAAGATGGCGGCGGAAGGATATTTATTAAGAGCGTTGGACAAGTTACCGCGAGGACACTTGACCGAATTCTTGATCTGTTAATTAATTTTATCTATTTTATCGTTTTTTTTTGTGTTTTGTTTTTTATCTAAGGGGATGCTGTCATTTTTGGGTATGATGTTTTTGTTTTCCGTCTGTTTTGAAGATCATTTTTTCTTTTTTCTCTCTCTGTCTCTTTCTCTTTATCTCTTTCTTTCTTTCTTTCTTTTTCGCTCTCTGTCTTTCTTTCTTTCTTTTTCTCTCTCTGTCTTTCTTTTTTTCTTTTTCTCTCTCTGTCTCTTTCTTTCTTTCTCCCCCCCCTCTCTCTTTCTTTCTCTCTCTCTCTCTCCTCTCTCTCTCTCTCTCTCTCTCTCTCTCTCTCTCTCTCTCTCTCTCTCTCTCTCTCTCTCTCTCTCTCTCCCTCCCTCTCCCTCTCTCCTTCCTCTTATCTTCAATCTTGACGACAAATCCACCTCGTTCCTCTTCGAAATAAAATGACGTAACGCCCGCGAAAAATAGGCGATTCGCGCTCGCCAGCTCGTAAATTTCGCGCCAAATCCCCGCTGCAGTTTCGTGAGTGAGCGACGCCTCCTTCCGCCCTGATCGCTGCCGTGGGAGGCCGTGGTCGCGAACTGGGGCGGTCGCTTGTGTCAACCTCCCTCTTCTTCCTTTCCTTCTTCCTTCTTTTTTTCTTTCTTCTTCCTTTCCTTATTCCTTTTCTTCTTCTTTTCCTTCTTCCTTTTCTTCTTCTTCTTCCCTTTCTTCTTCTTCTTCGTCTTCTTTTCATCGTCCTTCCTCTCCCTTTCCTCTATTTTTAGTTATTCTCTTTCATCTTCTTTCTTCTTCTTCTTCTTCTTCTTCTCCTTCTTCTTCTTCTTACTTCCTTCGAAAGTAGGCTCGACAGTCCTTTCTCATTACAAAGACCCGTCTATAAAACTCGAGGCGGACAAGGAGGGGGGGGGGGGGGGAGGGAGGGAGGGAGGATAACAGGGTAGCTAAGGCGCAGGGAGAGAGGAGAAGAGAATTGAAGAGATGAGAAGAGAAAGGTGAGGAGAGAGAGAGAGAGAGAGAGAGAGAGAGAGAGAGAGAGAGAGAGAGAGAGAGAGAGAGAGAGAGAGAGAGAGAGAGAGAGAGAGAGAGAGACAGACATAGAGAGGCAGAAAGAGAAAGAGAGAGGCAAAGAGAGACAAGAGAGCGAACGAGCCCCAGAGAGAGAGAGAGAGAACGAGCGACCCACAGAGAGAGAAAGAAAGAAAGAAAGACGGAGTAGGGGGTAGAGGGGGGGGGGCAGGGGCAAAGAGCGAAGGTCCAGCTAATGAATGGAACGTCGGCATTGCAATTAAATCCATCCACACAAAAACAGAAACAAAACAAAAGTTATCCCGCGAGCCGTAAGAGGGATACTAAAGGGAGGGGGGGGGGGCTGGGGGGGGAAGAGAGGGGGAGAAAGGGCGGATTGGAGTAATGGAGAGGGAGAGAGGGAGGGGCGGTAACGGGGGAGAAGGAAAAAAAGGCGAGGGAAACAAGGAGAGAAGAAGATGAAAGGAGAGGACGAAGGGGGGTAGAAAATGGGGAAACAAAGGAAGGAAGAGGAAGAAGAAGAAAAAGAAGAGAGGGCGAGAGAGAAACAGAGAGCGAGAGAGAGAGAGAGAGAGAGAGAGAGAGAGAGAGAGAGAGAGAGAGAGAGAGAGAGAGAGAGAGAGAGAGAGAGAGAGAGAGAAAGAATCGAAGAGAGAGAGAGAGAGAGAGAGAGAGAGAGAGAGAGAGAGAGAGAGAGAGAGAGAAGAGAGAGAGATCGAAGAGAGAGAGAGAGAGAGAGAGAGAGAGAGAGAGAGAGAGAGAGAGAGAGAGAGAGAGAGAGAGAGAGAGAGAGAGAGAGAGAGAGAGAGAGAGAGAAAATCAAAGAGAACATCAGAAAGAGAGAAAAAAGAAAACTAATCCAACAGAAAAAGACAAAAAGACAAAAAGAGAAAAAAGAGATCAAATACGAAAAAAAGAAACACACACAAGACACACACACAAACCCCCGACTCCCCAAGACCCCCACGATCCGAACGAACGAACGAACGAACGAACGAACGAACGAGGCCGTGAGACGAGGACCCGAACGCCCACCGCCGCGGCCCCGTACTTAGCGGCCCTACGCACGGATATTACGTCTCCCCGCGACCTTTTTTTTCCGGCAGAGGGCGCACGTAACTTCTGCCTGGCCCTCGAAAAAGGTCACTGGACGTGGACACTCGGCGGCTGCCAACGCCTCGATGAGTGCCACGCTTCGGCGACGCGGCAATCAGCTGTGCCAGGGCCTCCCCCCCTCCCACCCGTCCCACACCCCTACCAGCCAAGCCAAACCTCCTCCCCCCTAACCCCTTGTGAGAGGTTGAGGGGGAGAGAGAGACAGAAAATGAGAGAGAGAAAGAGAAATAATAATATTAGGAATAAAGATGATAATAATAATAATAATCATAATGATAATAATAATGCTAATAATAATAATAACAATAACACTAACAACAATAATGCTAATAATAAAAAAATAGAAAAAAAAAGATAACAACAATGAATAACAAAAAAGAACAAAACTATAACGACCCCCACGAATAAAACTAGAACACGAAAAGAACGTGAGAACAAATAGCATTTAAGTGAACAGGACAAGTTCTCCCATCACGACATGACCTACTTACGAGCTTAGGTCATGCAGGGCAGGCGGGCAGGATCCCCCCTCTCCCTCCCCCCTCCCTCCCCCTCTTCCTGAATTCCAAAGGACGCTTTGACTCTTCTAATCCTGCTTGCGCTGTCTGCTTGCTCCTCGCCTGCTTGCTTGCTTGCTTGCTAGTCCGCTCGTCTGACTGCTCTCGTCTGTTTGTGTGATTTATATTTTTGTTTGTCTGTCTGTCTGTATATCTGTCTGTATCTGTCTTTTATTTCTAAGTCTGTGTGTCTGTGTATGACTGCTTGTCTGTCTGTCAGTCCGTCTGTCTGTCTCTGTCTCTCCTATCCTTCTTCCCTCCCCCCTTCATTTCCTCCTCCCTCCCTCCCTCTACCCTTTCCTCCTCCCTCCGCCATTTCCTCCTTTCTCCCTCCCTCCCTCTACCCCTTTCCTCCCCCCTCCCTCTTTTCCCTTTCCCTCCTTCCCTCCCCCTTTTCTCTCTCCCTCCTTCCCTCATTCCTCCCGATCCCCCGACGGCGGCGCGGGTCCTCTCCGCCAGGCTCTCAATCTTCTCTGCAGCGGAAGGACTCTTGCAGAATATCCTGCAGGATTCCGTTAAACCCCTTCTTCCGGGACTTCGAGATTCTTGTTGCCGCTGCCTTGGTCACGCAGCGGGGGAACGGGGAGTGAGTGCGTGCGTGTGTTTGTGTGTGTGTGCGTGTGTGTGTGTGTGTGTGTGTGTGTGTGTGTGTGTGTGTGTGTGTGTGTGTGTGTGTGTGTGTGTGTGTGTGTGTGTGTGTGTGTGTGTGTTTGTGTGTGTGTTTGTGTGTGTGTGTGTGTGTGTGTGTGTGTGTGTGTGTGTGTGTGTGTGTGTGTGTGTGTGTGTGGGTTTGCGTGCGTGAGTGTGTGAGTTAGTGAGCAAGAGAAAGAGAAAGTGAGAGAGAGAGAAAGAGAGACATACAGACAGACAGACAGACAGAACCAGAGCGCTTTTGCATGATGAAGGCATGCAAATGCACACGAATGCATCCCTCTCGTTATCCCCCCCCCCCCCCCGCGCACGAACAATCGCACGTAGAACAAACCTCAACACACACGCACATCCAACTTACATCCCCCCCATCATATCCACGAATAGTCGCCCCCACCCCCTCACTAAAAAAAAAGTGACGACACCCCCTCTTTCCCCCTCCCCCCCCAAAAAAAAGAAGACGCAAGGTGACGACAACCCCCCCCCAACCCCCACCATCCCCAACCCACCCCACTCTGGCCCCATCCTTTTCT